ATCTTTCACACTGCAACCTTTTGAAAACTCAATGCGACCACTACAACACCCTTTCAACTAGTCAACTTAAGTTGTTTCCCTACATAGAAAATGCTTCACTGTCCCATTGACCCTCTCTGAAAAATTTCCTTTCCTCTCCCCACCCAGACTTCTGATACTTTCATTTGACCTTCACCCCTTTTACTGTCATCCTTTGCAATTTTTTATAATCAAATACATGACATCATGTAAACATTCATTATGTACATTTGCAAAACCTGTCGTTTTCATTTGGTGTTCAAAATTATGTTAAAAAATTTGATGTTGATGTACTTGTTTTAATTGCAAATAAAAGTATTAAAAAAAAAAAAAATTTACCAGATTTAAAAAAAAAAAAAAAAAAAAAAAAAAAAACTGTTTAAATTTAAGCACTCCACACGTCATCCATCACCAAATAATTAGTATTCAAATTATCAAATGTTTTTGAAAACCTAAGCGAAGCTAGGCAGTATGCCTAGTCTATATATATAAAGCAAAGTGGTCAAGTGCCCGATAGGGCACTTCCCGGCGCCGCAGGCGCGTCAAATTTGGCACGATGGTGCCTTGGGGCGATAGAACACGAGGGCCGGTGACGGTTTGGCAAAAAGTCTACGGAGAGGGGGTCAAAACTGACCTCGACTGACCGGCGCCTTATATGGGCTATATTACGAAAATAAATTTCCTCCGACGACCCCCCTTGAAATTTTATGAGGTGGTAGGAGAACGCCTTGGGGTGTCACAAAAAACTCGGCATATCTGGGAAAACTTCGTAAAGGGGTCAAAACTGACCAGTTGTATTTCCCTATATAATCTTTGTATTTTATGGGAAAAACAGAGGGTCATTTCAAAACGGATTTTAGGGCACTTACACTCTTTACATCTGGCTAATTTTTGGCATGCTTATAGGTAAATGGCTTAACCGTAGGGCAGACCTGTCGGTTTTACTCAAAGCCCTCGACGAGGGTTAAAAAGTGACCGACAGTGAAATTCTCTTTATATGAGCTCTATTACGAAAAAAAAATTTCCTCCGACGACCCCCCTTGATATTTTGTGAGGTGGTAGGAGAACGCCTTGGGGTGTCACAAAAAACTCGCCATGTCCGCGAAAAATGGGGAAATGGGTCAAAACTGACCAGTCGTATTTCCCTATATAATCTTTGTATTTTATGGGAAAAACAGAGGGTCATTTCAACGCAGACTTTATGGTACTTAAACTCAGTATATCTGGCTAATTTTTTGCATACTCTTAGGTAAATGGCTTGACCTTTAGGGAAAACTGTCGGTTTCACTCAAAGCCATCGACGAGGGCTAAAAAGTGACCGCCAGTGAAATTCTCTTTATATGAGCTCTATTACGAAAAAAAATTTCCTCCGACGACCCCCCTTGACATTTTGTGAAGTGGTAGGAGAATACCTAGGGGTGTCATGAAAAACTCGGCATATCTGGGAAAACTTCGTAAAGCGGTCAAAACTGACCAGTTGTATTTCCCTATATAATCTTTGTATTTTATGGGAAAAACAGAGGGTCATTTCAACGCAGACTTTAGGGTACTTAAACTCAGTATATCTGGCTAATTTTTTGCATGCTCCTAGGACAATGGCTTGACCTTTAGGGAAAACTGTCGGTTTCACTCAAAGCCCTCGACGAGGGCTAAAATGTGACCGCCAGTGAAATTCTCTTTATATGAGCTCTATTACGAAAAAAATTTCCTCCGACGACCCCCCTTGATATTTTGTGTACTCTTTTTAAGAAAAAACAAAAATCATAATGTAAAGCATTGTTTTAAATGGATGTTTTGTTTTAAATTAAGTTTTGTATTGTATTGAAATTGTAAAATTAATTGCAAAAGTAATTTAATATTATATTTGATTAATAATTTTTATGAAAGCCCTTTCATTTCTAATAACCTTGCGAGTAATAAGTTTTCGAATATTCCATCAATTTAGGGGCACAATAAAAGTACCCCACTGTATAAATTTAGGCCCTAAGTATTTAACATAACAGCCAATCATCTATTAATTAATCATTCAATTTCTCAACTTTTTTGAAAACCTAAGCGAAGCTAGGCAGTATGCCTAGTCTATATATATAAAGCAGTGGTCAAGTGCCCGAAAGGGCACTTCCAGGAGCCGCGGGCGCGTCAAAATTGGCACGATGGTACCTTGGGGCTATAGAACACGAAAGCCGGTGACGGTTTTGCCGAAAAGTCTACGGAGATAGGGTCAAAACTGACCTCGACTGACCGGCGCCTTATATGGGCTATATTACGAAAAAAAAATCCTCCGACGACCCCCCCTTGAAATTTTGTGAGGTGGTAGGAGAACGCCTTGGGGTTTCACAAAAAACTCGCCATGTCTGGGAAAAATCGGTAAATGGGTCAAAACTGACCAGTCGTATTTCCCTATATAATCTTTGTATTTTATGGGAAAAACAGAGGGTTACTTCAAAACGGATTTTAAGGCACCTACCCTCTTTACATCTGGCTAATTTTTGGCATGTTTGTAGGTAAATGGCTTGGCCGTAGGGCAGATCTGTCGGTCTTACTCAAAGCCCTCGACAAGGGCTAAAAAGTGACCGCGAGTGAAATTCTCTTTATATGAGCTCTACTACGAAAACAAAATTCCTTCGACGACCCCCCTTGACATTTTGTGAGGTGGTAGAAGAACGTCTTGGGGTGTCACAAAAAACTCGCCATGTCGGGGAAAAATCGGTAAATGGGTTAAAACTGACCAGTCGTATTTCCCTATATAATCTTTGTATTTTATGGGAAAAACAGAGGGTCATTTCAACGCGGATTTTAGGGTACTTAAACTCAGTATATCTTGCTATGTTTTTGTATACACTTAGGTGAATGGCTTGACCTTTAGGGAAAACTGTCGGTTTCACTCAAAGCCCTCAACGAAGGCTAAAAGATGATCGTGAGTGAAGTTCTCCTTTTATGAGATATACATATATATATATATATATATATATATATATATATATATATATATATATATATATATATATATATATATATATATATATATATATATATATATATATATATATATATAAATTGACGAACGATCCCCTTAATATTATATGACGTCGTAGACCAACCTTGGGGGGTAACAAAAAAATGTATTCCTGTCGGAAACAGCCATTATAGTCGTTAAATATGTTCATATACCGTAATGTCTTATATAAGCATAGCAACTGTTTGTAAAAAAAAGTAAACAAAGACATACGTCATACGTTCAGTTTTCAAGGGAGGTAACGTTTTTTAAATAATTATTATTTTTCAAATAATTGTATACTATTTTAAACAGAAACAGAAAATGACGAAGTATAGCATTTGTTGTAGTACAAAATTAAGTTGTAAATTCAGTTACGTATCCTAATTAAATAATCAAATAAATTTCAAAAGGCAATGTAATATAAACTATTAGATATACTGTTCATGGAACCTGTGTAGTTCTAATTCCATTTTAGTTATACATTGCGTACTTTCCATTATTTCTCTGTGAACGGAATTTAAATGACAAACAAAAACATTTTTTTCTAAAGTTAGCATATAATCGATAAGGAGATTTTGTTTTCGTAACTCTCTTAATCAAATATTAAAAATCAAATCATTTTAATACAATTTTTGTAAAACTTGATTCCATGACTGAGTGCTGAAAATACGATGACCTGCATGAAACGAAAAGAGCTGGAATCTTATTTGCAAGATGTGGATGTATTTGATAATCCAAAAATAAAACTTGAACAATACCCCACAACACCACACATTGCAGCATGTATGCTGCACACTATTTCTGCAACTTATGATGATTTGGCTGGAAAAACTATAGCATATCTTGGTGTAGGTTGTGGAGTGCTAAGTATTGTGGCAACTATGTTAGGAGCTAGATATGTACTTGGTGTTGATATTGATGAAGATGCCTTAGAGATATGCTCAGGAAATTTAGAAGAATTTGAAATGACAAGTATCGATCTTGTTGCTGCAGATGTAAAATATCTGTTTGGCTCTAACCCTGAAAACAGTCGTCTGTATAAACAGTTTGACACCGTGGTAATGAATCCCCCTTTTGGTACCAAACGTAATGAAGGAATATATATGGATTTTCTGCAGGCTGGTCTAAATTTGTCTAACAACTCAGTTTATTCTTTACACAAAACTTCAACAAGAGAGCATATATTGAAAAAAGCATCAAGTTGGGGAGTAGAGGCTACAGTTGTAGCAGAGCTGAGGTATGACTTGGCTAACACTTTCAAGTTTCACAAGAAAAAAGTTGTGGATATTGAATTTGATTTTATCAGATTTTCTCATACAAAAAAATTAAAATAATCTTTTTCTTATAAAAAAAATAAAAATTTCTGAAGTTAGCATTACTGTTTAAATTAAAGCACTCCCCACCCAATCCATCGCTAAATAATTAAGTATTCGAATTCTCAAATGTTTTTTAAAAACCTAAGCGAAGCTAGGCAGTATACCTAGTATTATCATAAATTAATAAATATTACATTTTAAACTTATTTTAAATGTTGCTTCGTTTTTAGAAATATAAAAGAAAACAAAACAAGAAATGTATATTTCTATCGTATCTGGTCTAGCGTTAAAGAAGGTGTGTGTAACCAATCATTACATTCAGGGGCGGAACTACAGTGCCGCCAGACCCCGCAATGCGGCCATTTAGGGGCCCAAAGCCGACAATAATATTTTTTATGGTTAAAAAAAATTAATTTTCTTGCATTTTTTACTTGATGGTTGTTTTGTAAAAAAAGTTTACCATAGCTGCGGTTGGATTATCTTTATTCTATAGACACCAACCCACGCTCTTGTATATTATTTTTCCGTTTTATTTTTAAACCACTGTGAAAGACGAGTCCTCTTTCTTCTACAATCAAACTTATCGAAGTAAACGTTCAAACCACGACGAGTTTGCCAAATCAAAAAGTATTTGCAAGCTAAGTAAAGAAATCACAAATTTCAGAAAGTGTGGCCTATTGTTTTATTTATTAGAAGTTTTTAAAGTTCTTATAGGACCTTTCTTGCTGTAACATAATGTTGCACATAAATAAGCGCGTAATATATCCGACTTAATATTAAAAAATCAAAACTTAAAAGACACATACTATAGGTTACAAAGTTTTTTATGACTTTCAATTTAGTTTGAGAAAGTAACACAATCATATTTCGAAAAACTTTGAAGGATAAAACATGTCTCATAAAAATGATAATCTATAGTCAAATCTAACAAAACTTATTAAATAAATGAATAAAGTATTCCATGCAAATGTATATATATATATATATATATATATATATATATATATATATATATATATATATATATACCTATATATCAAAGACTATTACAAGCCCTATTAATATAGTGTAATAGTCGAGATCGCCTAGCGTTAAGAGGAAGCGACTAAATTCTAAATAATCTCAAACAAAAATAGCATAACACGAATAGATTTCGATTATAAATTTGAAAGCTTTTCTCAGAAACAGACTTTTTTCTCACCAATAATAATCGCTCGTAAAAAAAAATTATTGTGGGAAAAAATTTCACTCATATATTTCGGTCTAGAATTTGTAGTCAAAAACTTATGGGTTAAAATTTGGTGGGTTTAGTTCGTAATTTATTATTTTAATACAATTTATTTGATGGCAAAGAACTTGGCCAAAAACAAACTGTTATTTTACTTATTTTGCAGATGAAATTTTATATGTAAAGAGCTGCGTATTGCTTCCTTTGTTGACGATAATTTAAAAAAAGCAAAATCAAAATACGACATATAAAGAAAACGTATGCCTTGCAGGTGATGACGTCTACAAGCTTTACAATACCTAGCTTTCGAGTTACGATCACAGATCAGGTACTTCCTGATACGTTGGGGTTGTCAATTTCCCTCTTATGCAAGGTAATTATGGTTGCGGCTCCGTTTTCTTGTATACATTTAACTGCAAGTAGTTTTATTTTTTCCTTATCTTTTAAGTTTTTGTGAAACTTATACCGCTTTGCCGATCCATCTTGTGACCAATGAAAAGGCACATCTTCTTTTGAGGTCATCTCATTAGCTAATGAAAAATATTTCTGTTCTGTATTGAAACAATCAATGTCACTGCTGTGTTTGAAAAAATGAGTAGCTGCAGAAAGTTTACCAAATTTAAATTTGCCTTTCATTTCATGGGCACATTTTTCAATTACTTTCTTCATTTCTAGAATTAAATCGTGCTTTCTTTTTTTGTCAAGTAAAAATTCAAGTACATTATTTTCATAGGTTTTCCGCACATAGATGACAAATAACTCGTAAAGAGCACAAAATTCATGTACATCTTGACAATCCATTAATCTCACCACTTCCATCCCAATATTGAGATAATCTTTTCTTAATTTTTTTTTAATATCTGCAAGCAAAACCCTGTGTAGAGTTCGTATTTCTCGAGGCCTAATGTTGTTGAATATTTGATTTCCATTTAATGTAAATGAAAATATACTTGGACATTTTAATAACTCGCAAATCTCTTGCATTTCTATTAAAATAGTTTTATCAGTAATCCATCTATATTTATGAAGTAAGTAATCTTTGGTAAGATCCTTAAATTCCTCGTCTATTTGAACAAGCGCTTTTGCATCAAATGTAAATCCAACATCACTGTTTTCTGACTTTGTGTGTTTTATAATTGTTCCTTGTGACGTACATTTGACATGCAGGAGCTGCTTATTTCTAACAAGTTTTAATTTTTCAAAGCTGCTACTTTGTTGCCAAATTCTTGCAATATTAATAATAAAATAAACATTGCCTAAATGTTCTCGAAACTGACCAGTAACACATCTAAATCCGTTTAACAAAACGTCAAAAATTTCTGCTTTTTCCTCGTTACACTGATCTCTAAGACAGTTAATAATTGTATTAACAAACGTTGAGTCAATTGTGTATTTATACATCAATTTAATAAATTTCATTTTAAACACATTCGAATGTTCCGAATCTAGATTTGTGATGAAACCACGAGACATATTTATGACTTCAAGTACTTCTATTTGTTCTACACCTGTTTGTTCTACACCTGTTTGTTCTACACCTGTTGGTTGATTTCTCATAGAAAATTCAACTTTGAGTAAGTCATCAGAATGAATATATTTCGTACAGTTTTCCCAGTCTCCAAATGAAACTTCAAAGTTATCTGTATATTCGCCTGTTTCTGGATAACAAATTGTATAACCTCTGAAGATATTATCACTTCTGAAATCGCCCCATGTGTTATAAACTCTCCCAGTGTGATCAATAAAATGAATATTTTCAACACCACCGTATGGATAATTAAGTCTTAATATTGGCACCAATGTATTGTTTGGTGGATCAGAATTTGTTTTTACACATACGTAAATTATTGAAACAAATGTGTCTGAATCGCACAAATTATTCTTAATAAAATAACTACAAGTTTTCGCCATTTGTTCCAACAATTTAACTTCATTATCAGTGTATTTACATCTGCGATTTGAAAATAAAATAAATGTCAATTGGTCTTTTAAAACAGATTCCAAATTATCATTTTTCCCAAAGCGCCAACGTTGATTGATTACATTTTTAGAAATTAATTCTTGAGTGCTTTTTGCATTAGTCCAATTATTCCAAAAACTATCCATCTTTTTTTTTTTATTTTATAACTTATTTTCGAAAATTATGCTAAACTTAAAATGCGTTGCCTTTTTAAGACAAAAGAAATATATTATTATTCATGTTATCCGAGAAAAGGCTATCTTGGTTAAGTTATTTAATGAATGGATGACTTGAGAAATTATGATAATTATAGTAAGGTACATTAACTTTTTTTATTTGGTTCTAGCCACCAAAAATGCTTCTTAGTCAAATTAGTAGGTCGCTTAAGGTAGTTTATATCGGGTTCCACGTATTCACAATCTACGTAATCGCCTCTTTTCCAACACTCCAAAATATTGTCGAAAGATGGAAGTGAAGTTGAGAGTTTTTTTTCTAAAATATCAATGTGTTCACAGAGATACGCAATCCCAGATCTAAGCATCAAACAGTGTTGTATGTTGTTTGGGTCGAACTCATCAACTTGGTGCTCGATGCAGTTTCTTAAGGCTACATAAACGTTAGGTTCAACTGTCTCAATGATGACTTTCTCTTTAAGGTATTTTTTATTTACCAATTTGAAAGCTTGTTTTAAAAGATCTTCTGCTTTCTTATTATCATTAGGATCAACACTAACACTCATCAAAAGCTCTTTTAGTTTCTCCGTATCTGTAAAATACAAATGATAAAGCTAAAAAAACAAACAACTAATATATTATTAGTTCCACTTTCTTATTGTTAGAACTACTCATTTGCTAAACAAACAGCATCTAATTGTATTCGTTTTAACATTTAAAAGTTTCCGTTCGGTCAGGGGGACACCTATAATCTCGAGCCCGGATTAGCTTTTGCGTTCTAGTATGTGTACTATATTGGTTGATCATATTGGAGACAGGCATAGCGACCTATTCCGTAGCCCGGGGCAAACTATCAATGCTGCCACCACCCCTCAAATAATTTTAAATTTATTTTTGAAGTTTTCGAAAAAAGCTCCCCCACTCCCCAATTGAAGAAATCAGTATGTAAAGCCAAGTAGCCTTCTATTTTCTTTAATTCGACTATGCATACTGCAGTAATGTTGCTAAGAACGTGCTTTTTATTTTTTCTACCCCGTTTGACGCCCACTTGGGTCGCCCAACCCGGCCTCCCTTAGCTACGCCTCTGACTAGAGATACACTGGATGTAACTATTTCCTTTGACTTTGTGTAGAACTATAACTAACTACTATTATAATAATTAACATCTAAGGTACAAATTTTAATGGTTTGTATGATAATAACAATCGAAATTGCATGGTCTACAAAAGCCATTATTTCAAAGAATGAAATTAACACAGTGTAACGAACTACTGATAATGCTGTATTGATTTTAACTGATTCATTCATCGATCATCCGGGCAGCATGTGCGAAACATAGAAATAGATTAACCCTGTTTGATGAACCCTTTCAAACAATGAGCTTTACTAAATGGATACTACCTTTAGTTAGTATCAATTAGTTTTTTAAAAAAATGCTAACGTATACATACCTGTCTGACATCGATATACTGTCACAACCTTCTTACTTTCAATATTCTCCAATTTCAAAGTATTCTGCATTGGTATTGAAGTTTTGTTTTTAATTGGGAAAACGTTATAAAATAATTGTGAAGTATGGTCTGTGGAGTCTGCATGTTTGATTTTGTTAGAACAAATACGGTACTCTTAACAGTTTTATTACATGTGCATTAATTATTTTAATGGTAAAACCTGTGTAATTGAAAGTTTTATGATATATGAAGTATGGTTCATAATTTTAAAAATCGTGTTTTTACTTAAAATTAATTTAAAAACATGTCTTTATAAAATATTGTATTTTTCTAAAGAAGTATTAATAAATAAGTAGCAATGTGATTTTTTTCTATTGTTTTTACATTCGAGCATGTCTTACAATGTAATTACCCTTTTTAACTAAAGTTTGTTTATCTATTATATTTTGAAAATTATAAATGACAAATAATTTTCATATTGTGCACTTATTGTAGCTGTACTAATATAAAATAATCGGCCTATTTGTAAATTTAAGTGGGACACAACCAAAAAATTACTGAACACTGAACACACTTTAGACAGCTATAAGGAATAGTAGACATTAAAAATGCTTTTTCAGATTTAAACAGTTGTGTACTTTTAACGGTACACGTACACGTACACGTACACGTACACGTACACGTACACGTACACGTACACGTACACGTACACGTACACGTACACGTACACGTACACGTACACGTACACGTATGAGGGACGGTCGCCACGGGAGCAGAAATATGTGACTTTTCTTGCAAATATGAAACCTAAGTTATTAATGTCATTAGTTAAGCAAAAGTAAATTTTATTCAATTAGTTTCAACTGTCGGATGACAGGTTTACAAAAAAAGTATAAACCACGTGTACGTGTACGTGTACGTGTACGTGTACGTGTACGTGTACGTGTACGTGTACGTATCTGAATCTGTATCTGAATCTTTATCTGAATCTATATCTACATCCGTATCTTTTTCTATTTCTTTTTGTATTATATACTTAAAATGTAAGGACACTTTTTTGCTAAACTAGTACATCATAAGGAAGGTTAAGGCAGGGAGGTCACATCCCGAAATAATCGCACTTACAATATACAAAGCCGAGCAATATTACTATGTAAAAAATATAAATGTTACCATTTTTGTTTTTACGTTTTTAATATCAGATTCGACATTGTAAGACTTTTAGAAACTTCAAAATGATATTTCCATGCACAAATGATAGTCACCTGTTTAAATT